GTTCTGTGCTCCTCTGTATCGTTGTGGTTCCACTGATGAGTTGATTTTAATCATTAGTTGCCAATTGGTTAATAAAATTCAGAGTGAACATAAATTCATAAAATCTTTAACACCGTTAATTGGGTCCTAATAACAAGATGCCTCTCTTCAAACGAAAGCCGACAAGTCGATCTCTGCGCCTTCGTGGGAAGGATTAATTTTGGTCACGCTCTGTAACTGCGCCTTCGTGGGAATACACCGTGCAGAGCGTCACTGTCTAGTCAAAATTTATGTAATAGCGCACCATATGGCGTTAATCTCTTTACGCTTGGCTTTGGTGCAGAATGTCACTGCCTAGTCAAAATTTATGTAATAGCGCACCATACCGTTAACCTCTTTAATTTGTAATCTATATCTAATGAAATTGCATTTAATTCCGCCTTTTGAGCGCTTCTCAATCCGACCTGTTGTATAAAAACCTCTGCCAGACATTAAAAGATTTATATGTGAACCTGTGTTTAAACTGCATGACTGTAAATCTAGAATCTGTAAGGTGACATGTTAATTAAGATACAAAGTATTCTATAATCACGTTTGACAGTCAGTGCGAGTTGAAGGTTCTAGATTGAAGAGATAAACTCATCCTAAACCAACCCTTAAAAACAGCATAATTAATGGCTAATAGCGTGCAGTGGAAAATGATTTATACAAACGGGGTTTAACTCGTGTTTATTCATTAATGGCTGCATATTTTCAGACATTCGGAAAGGATTTGAAATTCAATAATTGTTTTGTTTTGTTTTTTTATGTTTTTTTTTGTGGAACTAGACTTTCCAACATGGAAGCCATTGGTGCTTCACTTACTTAGTATAACACGGACTCACTAACCAGAAGGCTCGAGATCAGATTGTTCGCCGAGAAACCCGTGTTTAGAATATTTGACTAAAATAAAACCTGTGTTTGGAATATTTGACTGAAATAAAACTTGTGTTTGGGATGTTTGACTTGTGTTTGGAATGTTTGACTGAAATAAAACTTGTGTTTGGAATGTTTGACTAAAATAAAACCCAGTGTTTAAAATATTTGACTGAGTTAAAACCCATTTTTAGATTATTCGAATGAAATAAAACCCAGTGTTTAGAATATATTTGAAAGCATTTTTATAACAAACAGAGAGAGAGAGAGAGAAATGGGGTTTAACGTCCACTCGACACAAACTAGGTCATTTCAGGACTAAAATGGTTTAATTTTATTTCAGTAATTCGCTTGCGCGTAGGGGTCTTTAGCAGTGGGAGGAAACCGGAGGACCCGGAGAAAACCCAATACGTTGGACAGGCGACCCTAATCCTTGTCACTTATATCCGGGGATTCGAGACCCCGCCAGTTGACTCAATGACAGGCCTTATGATAGAGCGCGCACGTGCTAACCATTCAGCAATCCACCCCACCACCCCACCCACCCCCATCACAATCAGAAGAAAAGTATGAAATGAAATAATATTTTTATCATTATTGTTATCCCATTTTTATGTGTAGGATAAAGCACGATTGAGGTTATGCTGGGGAAAGACGGGCTGAAGAATTTTTTTTTTCTGAAGTCTTTCTTTCCCAGCATAACCGAAGTCAAGGACTTTACCTTGCTTATAAATCGTCTATGTTTACATGTACGTAAAATGAGAAAATCCCAGAATTCCAGTAAGAAAAATCTTATTTCATGTTTTCTTATGGAAAAATAATCTACCCTGGAAAAATAACCCGTTAAAGGTTTAAAGAAAAACTTTCAAAAGAATAACCACAAATTCCCCTGTATTTATCCAAAGCCGTCCCCGACTTTCAGACCTCAAATTATTCCGAGCATAGAATATACCCCAAGAGATCAAAGAGATTTACCATTATAGGTTTATAAAATAAAATAAAACCCGCGTTTAAAATATTTCACTATATGTTGAATAAACAGGCTGTATGTTCAAAACTACAGTTATGTAGTGTTTATATTAGTATTTCTATGGGATGTATACATGTATTGATGGAATATTGACAAAACACTTATCTAGACAGCCAATTACCCGCCTAAATCTGTCATACACGTTCCAGAACAACTCGAAAACATGGAAAAAATATTGGCACAATATCTCCGGATTAAAAAGCGTATTACTGTTTCTGCCCGAGTCATAAACTAATTTACTGAAAAATAATTTATTGCCGGTAGTATTGATCCTGCGAGAAATACGATAATTTCCTTTTGCGACTTTTGACCGATAGTTTTTCCGATATCTCCCTTGGGGGAATATAGTCGCGTATTTGATTAGCGCCATACTGCCGATATTCGCCGAATGTTTACTGTCTCGGAAATATCCATATATGGTTATTGTCGGAGTAATAAAATACGGCAAATAATGGTAATAGAGCAATTTAGATGAAGCTTTTCGACTGCTGTGGCTTAATATCAGTGAATTTCTAGAATATTTGATCGAAATGACGTCTCTACTGGAGCCGATAGGTGCTCAACTGATCGTGTAAAATGCTAACAGAGAAGCTCGGCATGCGAGTAAAGCTTGCACAATCTAATTCCTTCTGCCTCAATTGCCTCCCTTTATTGGTCAACCACTAATTAGAGACGATATTCATAATATTTCTTTTTATTTCCTGAGGCTCTTTTCGTCGTCCAGTCTAATAGAACTAATTAAAGTACGCCCAATATTTTTTATTCAATCAAAAAAAGGGGACCTTTAATAGACATTTGTACCGATCAAATCAGAACACCTCGAGGACATTTTACTCATTTTCTGCATCATTAGACCGATTTTGCCACAGATCGAAAACAATTCTTTTCAAGTGGTCACAAAGACAAACTCGGTGCGGATTCAATCTGAAAAATTAAAATTGTTAGCAATATAATGCTGTGGAAAACCTTGAACTGGTTGCTCATTGGTATGCCCATACACACTGTATAAGCCGAAAGAGAAGGAGACGGTGGGGGGGGGGGGGGGGCTACGCCCACTCGACATAAACGAGAGAGAGAGAGAGGAGAGAGAGAGAGAGAGAGAGAGAGAGATAGATAGATATCCATACAAGTAATACATTATTCTCCATTTCGTTCCATTTTTATTGGACACGACAACATTTTATAGCAATCACATGCTTACAAACACGTCACTCAATCGAGCATCCTTCGGAATTATTATTTGTTAAAGCCCCTTGTTAATGTACCTAATCGTTAGGAAGATACGAAAAACCTAGGCCAACCCGTGCACTTATTGACGAGCAAGTAAGTAAAAGAAAACCTGGCAGTTTAAAAAGAGCAGACGGTAACACAGTTACCAAGTCAAATCCCTTGCATTGCACAGGTCGCCTTAGAAACTTTCAATAGGTTCGTTTTAAAATCACCACGGTCTTGTTTAAATCTTAAAGCCAACTGTAGATTTCGTCAAGATCGCGAGACCTAAATAGGGTTAGGGCACGCGATTGTTGACGAGATTGTAGGTTAGGGTTAGCGCTTGCCCTGTTTACATCTCCTGACCTTGACGAAATGTGCAGTTGGCCTTAATATTTAGACCTAACCAACTTAGCACGGTAATGTGTTGACTCAATTGCTTATTAGAAATGATAACACTGGCCACGGTAAACTGTAGTGGAAGGTTTCTTCATTAATTATTGATTGCGCACGTAACTCATTGACTTCCAACTCATTTAATTCTCAACAGAACGCGACAAAATGAAATCAATTTATTACCTAATATACTATAAACAATTTCACGCTAAGTGAAATGAAATGGGTTTAACGTCCTACCTTTCTGCACCAACCGGGCTTATGAAGACATACGCATACGGTGTGCTTTGCGGAAAAATTTGGCAAGGAAATTCAAATTCCAACTATCAAGGTGTCTTTAACACGCACGCCAAGTCGCCAACATGTACACGAGACCTCGGTTTTTCGTACTATCCGAATGACTAGACACTATTTCTTGTCAGGCCCTCCGTCCGGCACTCGGGAGATCGACCGGTGTGGCCACCTTGTATATCAAGAATAAAATAACTTGTATCCTAATAAAGTCTCTAAGCCTCATTTGCGGGGTTTGTTAATGCCTTGCAAACTACCATGTTGTAAAAGTTGAATTCCTGAAAGGGATATCAGCCCTAAATTAAGTTCACGTCCATTCAGTATTTACAGGGATATTATGAAATGTAAATTTGTCAACATTCAGCATCCACTGCAGACGATATGTAGGAAATCTATATTCAACACAAGCCAGTGTCACCACTGAATATTTTGATGAGCCGCTTTTAAATCCGTTTGAACCCAAACCGGGAGATTATCTACCGTTGATATTTTTTTTTTCTTTTCTTGATTAAATGTTAAAATATTAATATGAGTACATTTCACCGTTGATTAAGCCGTGGAAATTTGTAATTTTTCAAAATATTGACAAATGGTCCAAATGTACTGGATTGTGTGCGTATGCAAAGTACTTCTGCTTATGAATCAAAGGAATCACTCTCCTTATTATGATACTCCCCTCGTCCAAACTGGGAGAACTTTTTAATACTACTGACCAACAGCACTCACCTTTATCTGTAGGGGAGATCACGTGGCTAATTAGGTAAGACGCTGGCTCGCTAGCCTGGAGGTCGGGTGTTCGATCCCTGCATTGGCAGAGAAAGTTAATCCAGATTTTCAGGCGTGGTTCCCCCTTGTCAGAGATGCAGGACAGAGGGCCTGACAAGGACAGCTGTCTAGTCCTTCGGATGAGACGAAAAACCGAGGTCCCGTGTATACATTGGAATGCACGTAAAAGATCCCTTGGCAGTTGGCAGTTGGAATTCGATATAAGAGTAGGCGATAGTGCCGGTGCCCGGGCAAAATTTCCTTCATAGCACACTGTATAGCGTATGCCCGTCTTCATTAGCCCAGCATAGGAGCAGAACAGTAGGACGTTAAACCCCATTTCATTTCATTTCATTTCATTATCTGTGGTGTCCGTGTGCTGTTTGTTTTGATTGTTGTTTTATTTTCGTTTCAGATGCAGGATTAGATTATGGAAAATGGTTTTGTGAAAAGAAAATCAGATGGAAAATGAACTATAATATACACCAAGAGATAAAGTTTCATAAAACTATCATCTAATACCCACAATCGGCAATCCTCCATAGATATGTTCTGCTATTTTTTTTCAATTCTACATCATTTGGCTACTGAACAAGAACAAATCACCTGTTTTGTCGGTATTCTTCGGTATTTTCCGGAATTTATTTTTGAAGATGACAGTAATGATGTAGTTTATAGTAGACCGACGTTTAGGCCACAGAGGCTAAATGGGAGTTAACTTGCATTGTAGCAATAGGCACTAACTGGCATAGTAGCAATAGATATTAACTGGAAAAGTGCCAATAGGAGCTAACTGACATGGTGTCCATGGGCGGTAACAAGCATGGTACCAATCGGAGATACCTGGCATAGTCCCAATCGAAGCTAACTGGCATAGTGTCAATAGCTAGCTTTGACTGGAATGGCTCCAATAGAAAATAACTGGTTTGGAGCTATCTGACATGGTGATACACCAGTTAGGTTTAGGGTTTAAAAACCTCTGTTGCCGAAACGTCGGACATAGTATTTTACAACGTATAATTTATTTGTTAAACAGCAATTTCCAACAGCAAAAATAAATTATCGTAATATTGCAGTATATCGATGTTTTAGTTATAAATTATCAGCCATGTTATTTAATACGCAGTTGTATTAAAAAGAACCTTATGCAGCAATTACCAGCTTTAATCCTAATTTCCAGTTACCACCTTTAATCCTAATTACCAATTGCCACCTTTAATCCTAATAACCAGTTACCTACTTAAATCCTAATTACAAGTTACCAACTTAAATCCTAATTACCAACTTAAATCCTAATGACTAGTTACCAGCTTAAATAAGAATTACCAATTACCAGCTTTAATCCTAATTACCAATTACCAACTTTAATCCTAATTACTAGTTACCAATTTCCAGCTTTAATCCTAATTACCAGCTTTAATTCTAATTACCAGCTTTAATCCTAATTACCAACTTTAATCCCAATTACCAACTTTAATCCTAATTATCAATTACCAGCTTTAATCCTAATTACCAGCTTTAATCCTAATTACCAATTACCAACTTTAATCCTAAATTACTAATATCTCTCTAGTTGATGCAGTAATGTCTCAAATATCTTTATTGAGTATTACGCACGACATGACTGGGGTGGTAATTTCAGCAAACTGGTCGAACTAGGATATTTATTGAAACATTAAAAAGTTCTGCCGACCACATTTTATCTTGTAGTAAACTATTACAGCCTACGATGTCGATTTGGCGTTAAAGAATGATAAAATTCTGTTGACTGTCGCCGAGTCAAGGCTACAGTCGAGTAGTTGATCATACGACGCTGTCGCGATGTTGGACAACGAACCCAATCGGTCTTTCGTTACCTGAATCTGTTAGGAAGTTAAGGAAACTTTTCTAGTTTTGTCAATATCCTCAAAAATATAAAAATTAAAAATAAAAGATAACATACAAAGAGAACTTACCAGTATTTAAATTTTAAATCATTTTATAAGCTGGAAATGAAATGAAATGGGGTTTAATGTCTTACTTTTCTGTACCGACCGGAGAGGGGTTTTACATAGGCTATGCCTGTTCCTCAATCCCATTCAGACATCCGGAATAAATATAGTTTATATAAAAAGAAAAAAACCGGGTAAATGAAGACTGACCTACACCATGGGTAATTGTGCAAGGACAGCTGCGTTTCCGTTTACTCTTCGTCTAAGGGTTCTTTTACGTGCACCTCAAGAGTACACGTGATCCTGTTGGGTTTTTTTGTTCCATCCGAACAACTAGATGCTCTTCCTTGTGAACCAGCGGCTGCCTCATCGAGTCACCGTGGCTCCCTACACAGAAGGAATATCCCCGAGAACTGCACGTGTTTTTATCAGGAGTCGTGAAAAAGTGTAACTGACGGGCTCTATATATAGATTTAAATAATCAAATCAACCAAGCTTCTGTTCTGTATTATTGAATTAAATTCAGGCAAAGTCCAAACACACATTTGATGCTAGAATTTTGTCTTCGGGCGTGTTTGATTGATCAGGGAAAGTCCATTTTAAAGTTGGTTAGGGAGGTGGGAAATTCAGACACGCCGAGTCATCCCAACACTAACCCTAACCTTAACCCTAAATTGGCAGTCACGCCGAGTCATCCTAACCCTAACCTTAACACTAAATTCGCAGAAGATGGGTTTTTTGTATTGTAATAAGGCTATGCATAGCTCAGTGGTAGAGCGCAGGACCGCCAACTGCGAGACGAATGGGTGCCGTCATGATTTCAATTCCTGCACGGTGCAAGGAAATGTAAGGCCAACTGCCAGTTCCTTCTATCTAAGATTCTATGGATTTTCCTTATTGAAATGCTCCCGCCCCCTGCTTCCCCTCCCCAACCGGCCTCAGAATAGATAACGCGGATGGATCAATATTTTCATCTGCTATCCGTTATTTACATGGGGTATTAGATAGCCAATTGTTTGTCATTTATGTATGTCGTGAGTTGAATTCCACTGATATACGTGATATGGAGGGTGATCCTTTTCCGGGACCCTCAGTCTCCCATACCTTCCCACTCGCAGTTACAGATGCATTATGTACGGGCTAAATCTGCCTTTTTTGAGGGGTTCTGGGCTTCAAATTTTATATAAATTAATTAGATATCTATTCATATGACAAGACCATAATCAACTCGCTACAACGTCGGATGGCCATGATTTTAAATGGATTAGTAATATAACGGTTTAAAAGATAATCGAGATCGGGTTTGTTTATTATGGAAGCCATGATACTTGACAGTCGATACTTGTCAAAACTTCAAACACTCAAAAATTCGCTTAGAACAATGTTATCTGAAATTTCCAACCTATTCATTTCTTATTATCTATTTTTGACCTATATTACAGCAAGAACAGCCAGCTCGTTATCTAAATGTTACATAATGCATCTGTAGATATACCAATATTAAACAGGTGGCCGTGTGGTTAGCGCGTGCGCGTTGTATCATAAGGTCTGGCATTGAGTCAACTGGCGTAGTTTCGATTCCCGGTTGTACGTGACAAGGAGTAGGGTCGCCTGTCCAACCTTGTGGGTTTTCTCCGGGTACTCCGGCTTCCTCCCACTGCTAAAGACCCCTACGCGCAAGCGAATTATTGAAATAAAATTGAACCATATGTTAGCCCTGTAATGACCTAGTTTGTGTCAAGTGGACGTTAAACCCCATTTCTCTCTCTCTCTCTCTCTCTCTCTAATAAACAACTCTCTCTATCTCAGACTCGCTCTCCAGATAGTTCTGTTATGTCTCCAATCGCTAAATGCCACTAAAGGATTATTTATATTTCTAGTCGACTGTCTATACCAACCACTCTGTTATACATCTATAGTTTCATTTAGAACAGCTGACATTTAAAAATTTCATATCATATTTTGTAAAAAATACGAGTATCGCATGCGAGAAAATCAACAAAAGAATTTTTATACCTTTAAATGTCGTTGGTCATTTTCTGAATTCTAAATAAATTAAATCTGAAATGATTGTCAAAATAAAACGTGATTGTCACGCGTGCATGTTAGAAATGATTAATTTCCAAGCGTATCTATTTTTGTTTGATGGATTGATTTCTGCTTCATAAACATTAAAAAATACGTTAGAAATAGGCAAAAAAACAAAAAAAAATACGCAAAAACAAATGAATAAATATGAATAATATTCGCCAGCTGATTTGTCGAACCTCGCATCTTTCCATCATCGTCGTTTGATTTTTCCATGCATCTTTTCAGCATCGTCGTCCAACTCATCTTGCATCTTTCCATCATCACCGTCTGACTCATATTGCATTTTTTTTTTATTTTCGTGGTCTGACTCATCTTGCATTTTGCCACCACTAACCCGGTCATCTATCCATTTAAATGATTCGCTTATTAGCACAGGCCTTTCTTGTAAAGACACCAGAGTGCCCGGGAAAACTCCAAATGGTTAGGCCGGTGTTCTTAATCCTTGTTATACTTATACGCCCACAGATCCTATACATCTAAACATTACTTGAACTCTTAATCATACAGAAACAAACTCAAAATCTAGTGACTATTCATCGGCTGGATAATGTTGAGAAATCGTGTTTTTTTTCATGATGGCTTAAAGTATAAACATTAACGTTTTTGGGGATCTATATATCTGTGAATGATGCCTATCTATCTATCTATCTGTCTGTCTGTCTGTCTGTCTGTCTGTCTGTCTGTCTATCTATCTGTCTGGCTGTCTGGCTGGTTTTGGCAGCTACACAAGGGCTGCGCCGGGGCTGTAATTTAGGGCAAAAGGGCATCTCGAGTCGGGGAGTAACATATGTCTGGTGACGTAACACTACCACTTCCGGTATTGTAGTTATCATACTTCCGGTTTCTGAAACTGTAACAAGGAAGCGTCGCACGGTTCTACCCATGCAACGCCGGGTTTCCATATTTGTAGCTCGAAATTTATGTGATTGTAAAGGATATGATGTTGATCGAGGTTTAACTGTTTACAGAAATTGTCAACACTCGAAGTAAATAATTCTTCTGACAATAAAGTTTTAAATCTATCACTCATCAAATAACATGTGGGTTTACATAGCAACTGAAAGAAATAGATAAAAATAGACAAATACTATCATGCAGTTCGCCATCAGGGGAATTTTGCCTGGGTTATTTTACGAGAACGCCAACGGGACACTTTATACTATCAGAACAACTAGACAGTCTTTGTTGCCAGTTCTGCACCACTGACAAGGGTGGGAGGACCGCACTGGAAAAACTCAAACAGCTTTCACGGCCAGAGACTGCCTCACTGAGCAAACGGAGGGGGGGGGGGGGGTCCACTGTGCTAGCAACCACAAGGAATAATATAATAAAATATGACAATATGTTAATGAATTGCAATGGGGTTTGACTTCCTACTGTTCTGCTCCGACTGGGCGCAAATGAAGACGGGCATACGCCATACAGAGTGCTGTGAGGGAGAGGGAAATTTAGCACAGACAGCGGCGCCATGACCTACTCTCATATTGAATTTCATCTGCCAAGGGGTCGTTTACTGTGTACAAGGGACCTGTGTTTTTCGTGCCAGCCTCACCATCATACCTGCCAGGCCCTCTGACCCTTGACAAGGGAATCCACTCCGGGAAATTCCGATGAACTTTCTCAGCTGATACTGGGATCGAACACGGGACCTTGGAGTTAGCGAGTCACCATCTTACTCACTAAGACCACCGCCACTCCCATGACTATAAGTAAATACGTACCTTAGCAATAGATAACATAGCTTGTACAATATCTGATATGTTATGTACTGGTAATATCTGTAAGCTAGTTGATAAATACCTTTAATATACAATAACAACACTTCGCAGTAAATATACCTTCAATCTATAATAACATCACTCCACACTAAAGGGTAAATATACCTTCAATATATAATAACATCACTCCACACTAAAGGGTAAATATACCTTCAATATATAACAACATCACTCCACACTAAAGGGTAAATATACCTTCAATATATAATAACTCCAGACTAAAGGGTAAATATACCTTCAATATATAATAACTCCAGACTAAAGGGTAAATATAT